GGGGGGGGGGGGGTTCCTCCATGGCCTCAGAGGGGACGTCACCTGCCCTCCTTTTCTTACTTCATATTTTGGTATGACTTACACAAAACTGCAGGGCGGCTAGAGACAAAAACCTACAGAATGGTGAGTTTGCAGAAGAAAAAAAACACGTGAACACTAAACAGGAAACCACGCCCAGGGCCAATCCAACGGGGGTGATGGAGAACGCAGAGCGGAGAGGGGAGAGGGACAGCAGAGCAGGGGACAGGGGAAGGGCGCCTTTCCACACGTCCAGTTTCTGCAGGAGGCAGGGTGGTGGGAAGCAAACAGCTGCTGGGGCTCAGGGCACTTGGGTTCCAGCCGCGGCGCTGCGACTCTCACTGGGTGACCCTAGGCAAGCCCCTACCCCTTCCTGGGCCTCGATTTCCCCGACTGTCCTGGGGGTTGGGGGATGCACCAGATGATTCCCAAGGTCCCTGCGGCTCCGGGATTCCACGACCCAAAGCCCCACTATCAGCAAGTCCGCGCCGCGCAGCTCCCGCAGAGGGCGGGTGACTTGCCGGAGATGGCCGGGCTCCTCCGGGAAGCGTGTTTAGAAGCCCTGGCTGGTCGTCAGGGGGACGTTTCCCATCTCCGCACCTCAGTTTCCCCACCTGTCAACCACGACGGGTAGGTCAGGGGAGGTCGCGCGAGGGACAAGGGAGTCTCCAGGGCGCCTCATCCCAGGAGGGGTGCCCTCAGGGTACCACAGCTGAGGCCGGGGAGCCCGGGAGCCTCGGGCCCGCATCCCAGGCCCGTCGGTGCCTGACCCTGAGGACCGGCTGTAGCCCTGAGGAAGACGCTGACTGGCCTCCAGCCGCAGCCCGTCAGCGCGCGGACTCACCGCTCGGGTTCCGGCTCCGGCTCCGGCTCCGGCTCCGGCTCCGACTCCGACTCCGACTCCGGTTCGGGCTCGGCTCCGGCTGGGGCTCCCGCTTCAGAGAGGTGCACCCCACCCCGCCTCAGCGCGGAGGTCTCGCCATCCCCCTGGGCTGCCCCGCAGCCGCTTCCGGGCCTCGTCACGTGATCCGGGCGCCCCAGCCGGAGGACCCGGACACAAGCTCCCGCGAGCCGCAGCTCCTCCCCTCTCGCGGTGCTCCAGGACGCGGCTGCGCAGCACCCCCTGGCGGCCGGTTGCTGCCACCGCAGGAAAGCCCGCGGGCTCGGGGGCCGGACCCTGGGAGCGGGAGCTGGGCGGGGCGCCGGCCTCGAAGCATGCGCAGTGGGCCCGAGTGGGCCGCTCCTTGCCCGGGAGTGCGCGCGTGGGAAGGTCGTCCTCGCCTTGCCCGTGGTTTCTTTAACTCGTCCCCGCGAGCGCGCGGTGCTCTTACCATCGAGAAACGATACACATTGGAAAAGTCATCTAGTCATGCTTTTAGAAGTTTACGCAAACTCCCTGTAGTTGCTACTGGAAGTGGGACTGTGAGGTAAGGCAACCTTCTCTTTTTTAACATATTTAAGATGTTCAGCAGTTTTAAAGGAATGGTAACATTGCGGTGCGTGTGCGTGAGTGTCAGCTGAGCTTCTCTTTCGCCCTTTCTCCGCAGATTTTACTTGTAAAAATGATGAAACTACTGAGCCAAAAACAAAACTATTGGAACAACTACAGAAAAAACCCCAAAAAACCTATTGGAACAACTACAAAATAGATAAATCTCAAAATAATTATGCTGAGTGAAAGAAGTCAGAAAAAAATATCCCATTTATATAATGTTCTAGAAAAGGCTTGCTGCCCTGTGGAGACCAAGAGCAAGCACATCGGTGGTTGCTTGGGGATGGGTGGAGGCCAGGAGAGTGACTATAAGAGGGATCAGGGAAACTTTCAAGGAGGGAAATAAGTTCACTGTCTTGACTGTGGTCATGGTTTCGCAGGTGAATATATATGTTGAAACTTATCCAACTTATGCACTTTAAATATGTGCAGCTTATTACATATAAATTATATTTATATACTAAATATAATATATTAAATATATTTATATTTATATATTTATGTTTAAAATACTTAGTAAAATTATACAAGCAATACATTAATATATTCTTATTAGAAACGTCAGGCAATATATAAGTATATTAACAGTGAAAATTCCCCTTCTCCCAAATTCACTCTTCTCTCCAAAGTTGAAGTGACTATCATGTATTGTTCATCAAACCTTTCACTACGTATTTATGAAAATATATATATATACAGAAAGGTGTAGGTTTGTGGTGTTAAAATTCATTGTTTTGCTTAAGACGTGTCCTCTTCACTGTCTATACTGTTTAAGTTCTTTCATAAACATATATTATTTTATATATGTTTAAAACCTAGTTAATTTTTAAAAAAAAATCTCCTCCAGTTGGTTCATTTCACCAGGGAAAGAGAAAAGAATGAGATTGATGCTCAGATCAACATATGAAGGCCAGTGAGTTTATACCATCCTTGGAAGAACCCACCTGCTTATCAACTGCTCAGTACCAGGAACCACTCTTGGAATACTGGTGAGCCAAGTCAATGAATGAATGCACCCTTTAGGTCTTCCCCACACCTCGAATATCGTTGGTTCTATGGCTCTGCCTAATGCCTTACTCAAGAAAGCCAGGCCTTGTGAGAACCACGCAGTTAGAATTACTGATGCAAGTGGGAATTTGCCTTCCTTAATCTCTTCCTGGGATGCATGGACTATAAATAAGGATTCTTTCATGTAACTGACCACCACACCCTTATTAGAGATTGCCATTTTAAAAGATTGCATCATTTTCAGGTACTGTTAGGACTATTATCAACCTTATTATGCAGTCCTAATTAGAAATTAACATTCAATAATGTCTCCTTATGGTTCCCAGATAACGTTCCCCAAATACTCAAATCTCCACCCCTGCTCCCACTCTTTACTCAGAAATATAAAGATTTCCAGTTCAAAATGGATGTATAGGTAAGCATTTTGACTCTTACTCCTAGAAACTGTGCAAAAGCAAAAAAGGGAAAAAAACACTGCAAATTCTATTTTCAGCAAAGTCAGAAGATCAATAGAATCCACAGATATATGTATGGGTTAACAGAAGCAGCCGAGATCAGACAGAAGCTGTGAAGGAGAAGGGGAAAGAAACCCAGAGACTAGTGAAGGGACCCAGTGGGGGCAGATCCCAGAAAAGCACCGGTAAAAACTTCTCCTGAACATGAAGAGCTCACCCAGAGCTGCACAGCTATATCCCTTTTGTTTGCAGCAATGGGCGTGGAAACAGTTCGGCAAGACGCAAAAGCTCTCCTGAGTCTGGTTTGGATCAGGGAAGGCAAGAAGATGAGAGTCACAGAAAAAAATCACACAGATGAGCCATATTTACAGGAAGCAATCCATCTGTGGCAACAGAGAAGAAAAGGCTGGAAATCCATCAGTTGGTGAAACTGTAGTGCAACTGGAAGTCTCATTGGTGTTGGGAGGACACCAATGGTACAACCACTTTGGAAAACTGGTTGACAGGTTTTTTATAAAGTTACATACATAATTATCCTGTGATCCAGCAATTCCTCTCCTAGGTACTTACCCAAGAAAAATCAAGACGTATATTCACACCAGGGCCTGTCCAGGGTAAGGACTCAGGTGAAAAAATTTAAGGACGTGCTCAGTCTCAGGGTTGGTCGAGTGCAGGACCAGCACTAATACGAACAAGAGAGTGAGTACCTCCTTAAATTTTGTGACCTAAGCTTCCTAGCTTGCCTCACCCTAGTCCTGGCCATGGTCAGCACAAAGAATTGTACTCACATTGTTCACAGCAGACAGGATAATAAAGCCAAACTAGTAACAAACCAAATATTTATCAATAGGTGAATTGGTAGACAAATAATAGGGGAAAACCACTGAAAAACGCAGAAACATGGCTGAGTCCCATTATGCTAAATGAACGAAACCAGACACAAAGATTATATATTATCCCATTTGATTATATAAATTTATAGAATGAGCAAAAACTAGTCCAGTGACAGAAAGGTAATCAATAGGTGCTTGGAATATGTGGGGTGAGGACTGACTACAAAGGAACACAAGAGAATTTTCTGGGGTGATGCTAATATTCTACATCTTACTTGGGGTTATGGTTACATGGTTTTATACATCTGTTAAAAACTATTACCTGGACAGTTAAAAGTATGTGAACTTTATTGTATATAAGTTATACCTCTAAAGGTTAATTTAAAAAAATTTTAAGAGATGACCAGGCATCTGAGGAAAGCCTCTAAGGTAAAAGTTAGGCTAATAATTGAACGCACAAACATATGAAAGCACTTTGGAGGAGACTGTGTGTAAACATCAACACACAAGCGAATTTCCTAGGAGATGCGCGATGCTGCAATCATGAAATAAGAACAGTGTGCATTAAAACACATTTTATAAGAAAAAGAAAGCTCTTGGAAACGAAAGACATAGTAGCAAAAATGAATCAAATAGAAGACTAAGAAGATAAGAGTGAAGAAATATGCTTCTTTTTAAAAATCAATAAATGTGTATTGAGTATCAATGTGCCAGGCACTAGGAATACAACAGTGAACAAAACAGACAAACATCTCTGCCCTCGTAAAGCTTACATTTTAGGGAGGGGAGGTAGACGTCAAAGATAAATAATAATATACTTATCGTGTCAGCAGGTGTATCTGCTATGGAGAAAAATTAATCAGGAAAGTGGGAGAGGGAGTCTGGGAACAGAGGTGAGGCATTGTAATATTTTCAAGTAGTCAAGGGAGGTCCCACTGAGAAGGTGTTACCCACACAAAGACCAAAAGTAGATGAAGAAACAAGCCATGTGGAATTCTCTGGGAAGAGCATTCCGGGCAGAGAGAACAGCACGCGTGAAGGCCCTGGGGTGGGAGTATGCCTCCCCTTTTGAAGAATGACAAGGACGTCAGTGTGGCTGGAGCAGAGTCTGCTGTAGGAAAAGAAGTAGATTAGGTCAGAGCAATGAGTGGGTGAAATTTGCGTAGAGTTCTGTGAGCCGTTTTAAGGACTTTGGCTTTTACTCTGAGTGAGATAGGAAGATATTAGAGGAGTTTAAGCAGAGAAGTGTCATGATCTGACTTGGGTTTTAAAAAGATGCTTTGAATAAGCAGTTTTGGTACATTTATTTTCTCTGTTCTTGTAACTAATATAGTGGGCATAATAAATAAATCCTATATAACATGTATAGTTTTGTAAAATAAATAGAAAATATAATATTAAGTAAATAAATTTTTTAAAGGGCGCCTTGACTTTTGGGTTGATGTAGGCAGTGGCAGGAAGGCCAGCTGAGAGGCAGTTGCAGTCCATAATCCAGGATAAGATTATGGTGACTTAAACAAGAGTGGTGGCAATGTTGATGAGAAGTGATCAGTTTCTGAAAATAGTTTTAGGATCGATTGGAAAGCTTTAGCCCCCACCCTCCCTGAAATCTGGTTACAGCTTCCACCCCACCCTCAGACCCTCCCTTAACTTCTTACTCAGCCAACAGCTTCCTCGATCTCAGTGTTGGCACAAGACTGGGCCAACTCATAGATCCTCCTGAAATAAGGCTGGAGAAAGCACCATTGGACGAGGGATATTCCAGGAACTGGGTCTAGGCACTTTATGAGATCTGGACCAAACCCACAAAGGCCATCTGTAGGGAAAGCAGACCTTAGGGATACCTCACAATGCTAACAAAGGGCCCAGCAGGGCTTTGAAGATGGAAGGGCTTCCTGTTGCCACTGAAAAAGCCCTGATGTAGGCACCTGGAGGTAAGGGCTGTGGTCAGCTCTGCCACTTACTAGCAAGTCCCTTTTAACGTGGGCTTCAGTTTTTCACCGATGAAAGGACTAAGGGGAAGAAGTTCATCTCTCAGATCTTCTAGCACTGAGTTCTTCTTTTCTCTGCTTCAGCTATATTCCTCCATCCAAAGATGACTGGGAGGGTCCTAGGTCAGCCACAGAATCATTGTATCTCACACTTTAGAGTCTCTTTGAGATGGTCTGCTGCATCTCATTCCTTTTATATATGGGAAACTGAACCCCAGAGGGACAAAGGTATTTGTTCAAGGTCACACCTATTACCAAGTGTGAGAACCTCTGGGTTCTCCTATGAGGCCTCACTTAGACCCTAGGGTTCATGTGGTCACAATTTTCCATATGAAGGTGATACTGGAGGAATTAATGGGCCAGGTTTCCCCAGACACAAGTGAAAATGAGGTCCTTGTGATAGCTTCAGAAAATGAATTTTCTAAGACTCGCACAGGGGGGATGGGATGTAGAAAAAGGTTTTATTTGCGTGGAGTTATATTTCTCGGGTTCCAAAGTCCCCTGCCCCTTAAGCTGGTCCTGGGAAAGGTGCAGCCGGGAGTTCAGCAAAGCCAGAAACAGGGCCAATGTCCAGTTTCCATTCCATGTTGCAGCCGGGTATAGTTCAATAATCAGGCCAGATTAAGGCCTATTAGTCCATGTGTGGAGCCCCACGTGGCCATGAGTCATATGGCCGCAGGAGTGCTTGCCTGGGCAATAGGAGTCCCTGGAGCCAGGCGCTCTGGAGACAAGAGAGCTCGAATTTCCTTTATCTAGTTGTTTAGATATTTAGATTTCACGTGCTCGCAGTGGCCGCGCCCATCCAGGCCAGTTACCTGCTTCCAGGTGTGATTGCCTGGAAGCATCTTTCACCTCGTTCAGACCTCACTGGGCATGTTTCTAAACTGCCTTTGTCTAGTGCCCTCCCCCGTTAATCAGTGGGAAATGCAGCTTTTCGGCAAAGGTGTGTAAATGGCATGCCTATATATAGTCTTCCCTTTCTTCCTTTTTTGTTAAATAATAGCCAGGTTATTATAACAGTATCAAAGGTGCAGAGTGATATCTGTTTAATAGGCAAATAAATTGTGTCTGAGTTTTCAAAAAATATAAGATGCCATTATGGAAAAAAACATTACATCCACCATATGAAAAAAAAAGATGAATGATAATATTAGTTTTCTATTGCGGTGTAATAAATTGCTACAAACTTAGTGGCTTAAAGTGACACCCGTTTATTGTCTCCCAGGTCCTATGAGTCAGGAGTTCAGGCATGGCTTAACTGGGTCCTCTGCTTAGAGTTGGCCAACTGGATGTGAATGGGCCAATAGGAGTTGATGAGCCACCCGGAGAATGGGATGCTTGAAACAGAGGTGGAAGGTGCTGCCATTTGGGGTAATGACAAGGTCTAGGATATGATGTGGGAGTGGGTGACTCAGGTAGGGTTCAGGACAAACTTTGGAAGCAGAGGTGGTCAAGGATTTTAGAGGCTGGAGTACAGATGACTCATTTACAGTGGCTGAAATCATCACCAATGATCCTAGTGATGTGGTGGAGGGAGGGAGAGAGAGACACAGTACCAAAGAAGCCAGCGTTTTTAGAGAGGAGGGAGGAAAGCAACAAGGAGCAAGGGTCCTAGCCCTAGCCATGTGGTATGAGAGGTGTGAGGAAAACGGCCCCCTCTTCGAGGTCTGCAGAGGGAGCAGTGACCTCAGGGGGGGCCACATTTAGTTAGACAAGAAGGCAAAGAGAACATGGCAGGAGACTTCCCTCTTCCTCTGGAAAACCGTTGCTGACCCCTTTACAAGTGTGACTCCTTTTGTCATACACACGTGAGCCTCTTTTCATTTTCCGTCAGAGCAGTTATCACAGTTGAAATTTTTTACCTATGTGTGGGAAACTGAGTAATATTCATGGTTTCCAGCTAAGCTCCTGGAGGGCAGGGGCTGCACTGCCTGCAACCAGTGGGTCCCCCGCACCCAGCATAGTGCCCAGCTCATGGACACTCAAATCAGCATTTGTGGCAAGAAGAAAGAAAGAAAAGAACAGACTGTTAGAGCAACTCTGAGGAGTCTCTGTGTGGGTGGAGGAGAAGCCCATATTTCTATCCACTCATGCTTTTGTTCATTTATTATTAAGGAACAGAGCCTGTGTCACTCCAGGTGAGGGGACTGGAACTGTATTTAAGCTGCTGAGCCACTAAGGCTCAAGCAGCTGAGAGCTGTGTCTTGCAGCTCCTCATGCCAAAGTGATTCCTGCTCAAGTCCCTCCAGAGCCATGGCCACTCACAACCCCTCATCCACCAGTGCACGGAGCTGAAGAGCAAGATATCTTCCTGTCTAGAGCTGGAGGCCCCTCCACCACTGCCAGTTTCTGGATGGTGCACTCCAGTGAATTCCCCAGATGCCCCCCAGGAAGGGCCAGCAACTCCTCCGCCTGGGCTCCTGCTGCCTGGAGGAGGCTAGCAGGATCTTGTAAATGTCCTTTCCTCCCAACAAGAGTTTCTGGGCCTGACATCTTGTACGCAGAGACTGCTGTGGGAATTTTTTCCTTCCTACTGGAAAGTAACTCAAGGAGCTAAGTCTGGGCTCTCCTCCATTCCGGACAAACAGGCAAAGAGAGGTGTAGAGAAGTTGTGTTAGTGGCAAAGATAATGCTCCCTGAAGATAATGCTTTGAATCTTAGGGTTCCATTCAGTCAATTATTGAATACCTGAACAGCGTGAGACTAAAGCAGTGAACAGGAGGCACCATTGCATCCTTGCCTCCTAGGATCTCGCAGCCTAGGGAGCAAGAGATGTACACACGTAACTGAAATTCCAGAAGGAATGGCACCAGTGAAGTCAGGTGTTCTAGAGGGTTCAGAAGAAGAAGGTGTTATTTCTAGATGGTAACAATAGGGAAGGCTTGTGTTAGAGGTGGCATCTGAGCTAGTCCTTGGAGAAATAATGTTGCCAGCCAGAACATCCATAAAGTATTTTCTGCCTCCACTCAAGAAGGTAGATCCAGCTTTTGCCAGCAAAAGAAAAGAATCCCAGGTTTACATTGACCTGGGTCAGTGGAACATCATGAAAATGAGCACTGGTTTTGGAGTGAGTCAGAATTGAGCTCAAATCCCAGCTCTGTTACTTTCTAGCTCTGTAAGCTGGGACATGTTACTGGACCTGTCTTAGCTTCAATTTTCTCATCTGTAAATGGGGATAATAACTATCTGCCTCAGACAATTGTTAAGAATCAGTTGGGATAATCCATGCAAAGCACTTAAAACAATGCCTGGCACATACTAATTGCTCAGTAAAAGGTTAACTAATTCTAGCATAGAACAGACTGGCTGCCCAGACTGTGAGCAGCCTGAGGTCACTGGCTAGGCCTCATTTAATTCTGTATCCTCCCAAGCCTAGCACAGAGCCTGGGCACAAGGAACTCAGTAAAGGATTACAAAACGAATGAATAAACAAAAGAGACTTCCTCTTCTTTAAAAAAATGTTGAGCTTATTTTTCTTTCTTTCTTTTTTAATGTTTTTATTGATTTCAGAGAAAGGAAGGGAGAGGGGGAGAGAGAAACATCAAGGATGAGAGAGAGTCATTGATCAGCTGCCTCCTGCACGCCCCCAACCCAGGCATGTACCCTGACCAGGAATCAAACCTCTATCTCCTGGATCATAGGTTGATGCTCAACTGCTGAGCCACTCCGGCTGGGCGAGGATTCCTCTTTATCAACCTCTCAAATTACACACCAGGGAAGATTTGGGGGGGAATGAGTATGGTTAAATCTTAGGGGTTCCAAAGAAGGCTGTGTACATGCCAAAGATCTTTTGAGAAGATATTGAAGGTTTAAGGGGCCAATCTGCCTGAGGTTTGTCCCTAGAAGTGGAACGCTGTCTGTAGTAGGAAAAATTCAAGCATTTTGGGGAGGAAAGGCAACGTTGAACTAAATGCTTTCTGGGTTTTCAGGACAACCTGTGGTTAAAACCGCAGGAAAACACACTCATTCCCATCCCGGCTTTGCTACGTACCATTTGTGACCTTGGGCAAAGCTCTCCCATCTCTGAGCCATAGGTAAAATGTGAGAATAATTTGAGAGGGTTAAATGAGGCAATAGATATTCAGTCTCTTGCAGGCAGTACTTATACCCTGGATTTCTCCTCGGATCCTGTGCAGGACAGACTCTCAGTCTGCTGTTGGCACCCGTGGGTTTTCTGTCACAACTTTACCCATTTCACAAGTAGCTTTCCCCTCAAGAGCTCACAAGGCAGCAGAGGGAGGAAATGTTCTTTACCATTTGTCCCCAGAACACCCCCAAGATAAAGTCAGGCCTCCCATCTGGAACCCTGAGTACATCTGAATCCAGAGTTAGGGTCAGTGCCAAGGGAACAAGAAAGAACAATGGATCTGGAAGGGCCACTGTGACATGTCAAACTCACTTCTGCTCCAGCCAGCCAAGGCCTGGACACGCAGCCAGGGGAGTGAGGTGGGAGCTGATTCCCCCTGCCCCTCCCAGCACTGCCTCATCTCCTAGTGAAAACATCTGGTTTTTTGTGGACTGCTTTTACAGCGTGGGAAACTCTCCTGAGGTCATAAAAATTGAGAGTAGGAAACTACCTTGGAGGTCATTTTGTCCTGTACATCCCTATCTCCTCTCAGTCAGGGTTTAGGGTAGGAAACTTAGTGTTTTAGGCAGAAAAATGCCAGGAATATATTTCATAATGGGAATTTGGGCTCACACAGCCTTAGAAGGGACTGAATCCACTTGGCTGATAGCTCCAGGAGAACGGGGCTCTTTCTGTCTTATTCACTGATACAGATCCTTGTGCATTGCACAAGCTCCAGACACTCAGTAGCCACTCACTAAATATCTAAAATGAGTTAGTGAATGCGTTTAGAGGGCTCTTCAGGGAAGAGGCACAGTGGGAATCAGCAGGTGTTGGCCCCCCCATCATTTCTGCCAGGGTTCCTAACATATATCTTTCCATTCAGCCTTGTGTTAGGGAAAGACCTGTCTTGCTCTCTCCCCAGAATATACTTCTGAACCTAACAAAGTCCCATTTCCTGTGCTCTCTCCTGAAGGCTCAACAAGCCCTTTATGGACTGTGGGGATACAGTGATGCAGTGCGGAAGGCCAGCCCTGCACCTGGCTCCAGGACCACACCTACTAGGAGAGGTACCTTGTCCCCTCCTTGCCTGAAGTGGGGTAGGATGGTGGGTCCCAATGAAGTCCCAGGGAGGCTGTGGTCCAGTGTTGATATCTGCCCTTCTGGAAATACAGCCCTCATTAATATCAATATTTTTGTCCTAAGACAATTATTCTCAAAGTTGGTTCCCAGTTCAGCTGCATCAGTATCACCTTGGAACTTTTTAGAAATTCAAACTCTTCAGCCCATAAGTCATAGTTCCTCAGACCCATTTTGATAAAGTGGAAAAAATTGAACTGGTCTTTGTCTTTATTTTTATATTTTTGCTGTTAGCAATGATGTTCAAAATAAATAAATAAAAGATTGCAGCACTACAAAACAAACCAAAACAAAACAAAACAAAAACAACTCTTCACCCCCATCCCAGACCTACTGAATCAAAAACTCTGGGGGTGTATTTTCACCTGTATTTTGACAAAACATCCAGGTGATTCTGATGTATATGAAAGTGTGAGAAACACTGCCCTAAAGAAACAACTGTGCATTGTTGACCATAGAAGCAAATTCACATACAATGGGCATTTTCTGTGCTTAACTGGAGAATTTTTTTAATCATAAAAGGGATACAGCAATGGGACAAGAACCGGACTCAAGACTTGCACATGGGCCCAGATGGACCATCACTGGGTCAGAGCTGGGTGCTTCCGGAATCCAGCCCCCTAAAGTGCAGATGGGAAAATTAAGCCTTCAAGACAGGGAGCAACTTGCCCAAAGGTGAGTCACGACAGGCTGGAAACCACAACTCTGAGTAAAAGTGTTATGTAAATATGGGCGGCTCCTAGTTATCCTGGGGAAAGGATAACTCCTAGTTACTGGGAGTGTGGATTAATTGATTCTGGTGGCTGGAGTTTGGAGCCACCTCTCTGAGCAGTCAGGAGACATTTTGACAGCTGAGCTTTATTGTTTTCTTCGGCACCTCTTCTTTCTCCCCCAGCCTGTAGGCATTGGAAATCAATAAAACTGTATTCATACTGCTCTCACAGTGTGAAATAAATCATACGCAATTCAGCAGATCTCATTTACTGGCAATCATTTACAAGAAATACATTTTGACGCTACATTTCCTGTAATTGTGATTTGGAGTACACTATAAACACTTTTACTCACCCCAATTGACTCTGTTTTTTGTGGACCTGCTTAAGCAGAAGGAGCATGTGTCCAAGGAAAGCTGGGGCCAAGCTGTAGGACATGGGTGGTGGAGACTCTCACACCCCAGTAGCTGTTAGCAGCGAGGGCCAAGAAGCTAGAAGGTAAATGTAAGCAAAAATAGACCAGACTAAGGCGGCCCTGGGACCAGTCTGAAATGGCTCATGACCCTGAACATCAGGGAATGCCAGCCAGCATGCGGTGATTCAAAGTCAGATGGATTCTGGACTGTCTAGATCAGTCCATTCACTGAGAAACCAGAGTTCCATTCACTTATTAATTCACTCATCCACTCATTGAACTGTATCAGTTGAGTACCCACTATGGGCCAGGCACCGTACTAGGTGCTAGGGAGATAGGGGTGAATGAAATAGGTATGATCCCTACCATGAATGGAGTCTTACAGCCTAGCAGTGAAGATGGAAAATAAATAAGAGAAGTAAATGCGTAATTAACGAATTAGGATAAGAGCTACAGGGGGACAGGGAAAACCTCTCTGAGGAGGTGAAGTTTAAGCCAAGATCCGAAAGACAAGTAAGAGCCAACCACTTGAAGAGGTGTGGGAAGGACTATGTTAATTAAGGAACGTGTCAGCAAAAGGCTGTGAAGTGGAAGAGCTCAGACAGACCCAGAGTCTGGCGAAGCATAATGAGTGAGGAGGAAGAGATATAAAAGGAAAGAATGGAAAGGTAGCAGGAGCCAAATCATGGCTTAGAATGTTATTCCAAGAGCAGAGTCCCTTACGGGTTTAAGCAGAGGAAGGGCATGATATCAATAATTTCAAAAAGATCACTCTGGCTGCTATGTGGAGCATAGATTGGAGGGTCAGGAGTGGAAGCAGATTCATTCCATGGGGGAAGGGATGGCCATTTCTGAGCAGCATATTGAGTGTTCAAGGCAAGTCAGTTGGAATTTGCAGGACAGAGCTTGTCTTCTTCAAGCAGATGAGATTGGGCAGCAGGTAAAGGAACAGGGAGGCCAAGGCAGGCCTTGACTCCATAACTATCTGGACATAAAGGGTCTGCCTAGAAACATACCTGGACACAGGCGTAATGAGCCTGCCAGGGTGTTCCTGTCCCTTCTGGAGCTAGAGGAAATCTGAGGCTGCCACAAGGCTTCCTACCTGCAGCTGTGGGTAGCAAAGGCACCCAGGTGAGAGAAGTGAGGCAGGGGCTGATAATACCAGCACATCGGGTGACCCCACCTTCTCTCCGCCTTCCCTCTTTTTACAGCAGTCTTCTCCCAGTGCCCAGGTACATAGTGTTCTTTTTCCTGATTATGGGCCAGCTGGACTTCTGCTGTGTGTTTCATATGTTTCTGGCAGATAACTATAAACAGGCAGGGCAGAGCTCTGGAGCAGCAATACAAGATGGCACAGATAGCCCCACTTGAGCTCGAGCAGCTCCCGCCAAAGCAGCTGAGTTAATAAAAGCCCAAACAATCCAGCCTTTGCGTTGGAAGCTCCAGGTCCTCATCTCAGAGCAACAACAGAGAAAACTGCACACACCCATTTTCCACTTGAGAATCTCCAAGACCTTCCTATTGAACAAGATATATTCTAAACATCTTACTCTGGCTCAAAAGACTGGGTGGCCTGGCCTCCATCTATTCTCCAGCCTGATGTTCTACTTCCCTCCTGTATGTGTCCTGTGCTCCAACATATCTGAACCATCTCCGTTCCCAAATTTGTCCATCCTTTCCCACCATTGAGCCTCTACTTCTGCTGCTCTTCCCACATGCAGTGTTCCCCCCGCCTCCACTCTCCAACTATCAAATCATGCCCATCCTGAATGCCTGTCTTCTCTGGGTATCGTTCCCTGATACACACAGCGGAATCACCACCTTACTTTTCCCTTCTTAAATATATGTGTGTGTGTGTGTGCGCGCGCGTATGTGCAGTTTTCCTTGAATATCGTTATGTGTGCATATCTCTTCTCCGTAAATAGCCTGTGAGCTCACTGAGGCTAGAAAAGTTTCTCTGCAATTATTAAAGTAACTGCTCAATAAATATGTTAGGTCATGGATTTTCAGCAAATGGGTCTTCAAACCCTAATGCTGGAAGAAACTCCAATAGTTCACATATGTATAAATATAATGTCTACTCTAAAACGTGAACAGCAGTTGCCTCTCTGAAATGGATCTACAGGTGCGTGTCTTTTATCTTCATTTTCATATCTTTATAAATGATTCTTTTCCCTTTGGAACACAAAAACAGCACAGCTCTCTCTCAGAGAAAATCAAACAATAATATAGACATTATTAAGCTAAAGGTCCCCAGAAATCTCTCCTCCTGCAAAAACATACCACTAAAAGTTATGTGAATAGTTTTTCAGGTTTTTCTTTCCATGAATATTTGAATATGCACATAAAATCATCAGTTAATTTCAAACTATGATATTGATCTGCCACTTAACTTCTCTTCTTGCTTAATGATAAGGCATGGACTCATTGTCCATGATATATTTACCAACTCCTTATTGACAGGCACTTAATGGGTTGTGTCTATTTTATTTTATGTTACTGCTATCATAAACTGCTGAAAAGAGAATCTCCAGAGATAATTTTTCTCTCTTTATATTTTTCTCTTTGTTTCTTCAGTTTTTCTAAATTTTTAACCATAAATATTTTCTATCATTAAACAAAATTTCTGTTTAAAAAAAATGAAGTGTCCAGCCATCTTCCTGTCTCTGTTCAGAAGTTCACTAAATGCTGTCTTTCAATCAATGAATTCATTCATTTATTCATTCAGCAAATATAGTCATGCACCGCGCAATGACAGGTCTGTCAACGACAGACCGCGTGTACTACGGTGGTCCCATAATAGTATAATGAAGCTGAAAAATTCCCACCACTTAGTGACTTCATAGAGCGCCACATTATGTGTTTGTGGTGATGTGATGGTCTAAACAAACCTACTGTATAAAAGTGTAGCACATACAATTGTGTAAAGTACTTAAGACTTGATCATGAAAAATGACTGTGCTGTTACTGGTTTATGTATTTCCATACATTTTATCATTATTTTAGAGTGTACCCTTTCTACTTATAAAGTAAAGGTTGCCTCATACGTCTGGTGTTTATGTCTCTTGATTGCATCATTTTCTCTTGGGCTTGATTTAATCTTGTGTAGTTTTGTTCCTCGTGGTTTCCTAAGCATACAGAAGCCACCGCAAATGTTGCCAGTTAAAGGTCAAGCTAAGTACCTGAACTGGAAATGACATTAAGGTGGTTAAGGACTACAAAGGGAAAATCTGTGATGGTTATTACTCGCCAGTCAGGCTTGTCCTATTCCACTATAGCTACAGTCCTGACAAATCCAGCAGCATAGTGGCAAAAGTTGTTAAAGGATCAGCTTCGTTGAAGGTGATGAGACTAAAAGAAGTTGAGAAGAGCCTGTATCAGACATGAAGAAGCTTCTGATGGCCTGACTTGAAGACCAAGCCCAGAAGTATAGCCCTCTCTCTGCACCATGGCAATCACAGACAAAGCAAAAAGTTGGTGATGTTGCAAGAAGAGGCTGGGCCCAACTACAATGTTCAATTTACTGCTAGCTCTGGGTGGTTTAAACAATTCAAGAATTGTTATTTATTACATAATGAGAAAGTAAGTGGTGAGTCTACAAGTGCTGATGTGAAGGCAGCTGAAGAATTTTTGGAAACTCTAGATAAGCTGAGTGGGGAGAAAATTACAGGCCAGAGTGAATATTCAGTATAGATGAAACCTCCCTATTCTGGAAATGGATGCGTCTTGAAAGGACTTTCACCCATAAGGAGGCCAAGTCAGTGCCAGGTTTCAAGGCTTTTAAGGACAGGAAGACAGTCTTGCTTGGGGGCAATGTTGCAGGCTACAAATTGAAATCCTTTGTGATCTAGCACAAGGAGAACCCCAGGACCTCCAAGCACATCATAAGCACACACTGCCAGTGTACTACAGGAGCAATAAGAAGTCATGGGTGATCCTGCTCCGCTTCCGATATGCCCTCCTGGATTGCTGTGCCAGAAAAATGGAGAAGTACTGTTTGGAAAATAATACACCCTTTAAGCTTGTGTTTATTGTTGATAATGCTCCAGGACATCCTCATTTTATTGGCGATCTTCATCCCAATATCAAAGTGGTTTTTCTCCCTCCAAATACCACCTCTTTGATCTAACCAATGGATGAAGGAGGTGCAGTAGCTTTTAAGACCAACCACCTGAGGAGGGCCTTTACCCAGGCTATTGCTGCTCCTGAGGAAGACACTGAGAAGACACTGATGCAATTCTGGAAGGATTACAACATCTCTGCATGCAGAATCTTGCTTGGGCTTGGGGTAATGTCACCGAAGAGTGTATGAGTGGCATCTGGAAGAAGATACTCGAAAGGTTCCATCCTGAATTCAAGGGATTTGCTAAAGATAAGGAGCTTGCAGGAATCAACAAGGCTGTGGATGAGATGGCAAACAGGTTTAACTTGGGTGTGGATGAAGGTGACATTGACGAGCCCCTGAGGTTGTTCCTAAGGAATTGAATAATGAGGAGCTGTGGGAGTTAGAACAGGACCGTGTAACTGAAGGAGAGGCCAAAGGAAAGGAAACTGTAGGAAGAGAAAAAGAAGAACCCACAAGAAAATCCACAGTGAAAGGTTTAGCAGAAGCTTTTGCAGACCTCAACAAGCTCTTTAAAAAGTTTGCTAACTTGGACCCCCACACCAAGAGGTTTTCATGAATAGGGAGGAATGTTCACTGTGAATTATCTGCTTACAAGCAAATCTATGATGAAAGAAGGAAACAAACCAAGCAAACCAGCACCAGACATATTTCTGAAAAGAGTGACACCTTCTCAAGAAGAGCCTCGGGCAGGTCCTTCAGGAGGTATTCCAGAAGAAGGCATTGTTGTTAGAGGAGATGATGGCCCCAAGTCTCCATGCCTGTTATTGCCCCTGAAGGCCTTCCAGTGGGACAAGACGTGGAGGTGGAAGACAGTGATATTGATGATCCTGACCCTGTGGAGGCTTTTGTTAATGTGTGTGTTTGTATCTTAATTTTTAACAAAAGTTTAAAAAGTAAAAACAACAACCAAAGTTAATAGAAAAAATAGCTTATAGACTAAAGATATAAAGAAATATTTTGTACAGCTGTACAGTGTGCTTGTATTTAAAGCTAAGTGTTGTTACAAAAGAGTTGAAAAGTTATAAATCTCAAAGTTTATAAAGTAGAAAAGTTATAGTAAGCTCAGGTTAAGTATTATTGAAGAAAAATATTTTTTCTAAATTTTAGGGTAGCCTGTTTGCCTGAACCATTACTTAGAGCTGATGTTCCCACAGAGCCGATTCTGAGGCACAGAGTCACAGGTCACACACAGCTGGGGCTGGAATAAAGGGTGAGCACATAGAAATGTTCTAGACAATGAAGTCAAACCACAAATAAGGAAACAGGTTTCTTCATCCTGGTCCCAGTACAATTTATATTCCTATTCCATCCTTTGGTTAGGAACTGTTGCATATTCCAGTGTGTAAGATACTCTCCCCTCTAGCTCCCCCGCAACCCCCAAGCAAAAGGAATCCAAGACCCGCACACCTGTGTTACTGCTGGGTCACCTTTCAGACCTGAAATTAGGGGTGGAGCTCCCTCTGATGGTAAGAGCACAAAAGCACAACTCCTTTAAAGCACAGCCTGTAAAATTAATTGCGATTTTCTGTAACATCAATCAATAATCAGCAGCAGCAGTGTCACCCACCATATGGCCCACGAAAGCTACTCAGAGGAAGCTTACTTGAGTATCGTACTTCCTGAGCGTGGAATAGGATACTCAAGTATGGATGGCTGGACTAGAGGCCTTTAAAGTCTTTTCAGTAACCGGTATTATTGTAATTCCTATTATTGCTATAATTCATATTATCTATATACTAATATTGGTATAATTCCTTGAACCTAGAGGTGCCATGTTTTGGAGTTTGTTTGTTTGTTTGTTTGTTTCCCTCTCTCAAGCTTTGTGATGGATGAGATGAATGAATTTAAAATAATAAACAATGGGGTCTCACACACAAATGGGGACCACTGTCATTATGGCCCCTCCATTTGCAGATTTTGCCTCTGGAAAACAAGATGCAGGACCCTTCCCAGTTTTCACTCGTCCTATGCAGGAGGATGTTTGTAATCACCACCCTGGACATAAGCTTTGGTATCTTGGGCTACCTTACGTTTTGGGGGCCACCACTTACAAAAGCATCCTCTGAAACCTCTCCAACTACTGGTGAGTGAGTTCAGGCCTCAGAGCCAGAAGATGACATGCAGGTGGGGCTGGCTTAGCTTAAGTTTATGGCCCTAAAGAACAGAAATTCACATTCTTAATCTAATGCATAAACAATAAATATTTAGGAAAAATATAATGTGATAACTTAGATTTACTTTTCTGAGTAACTCACTCATCATGAAGAAAGAGAAGAGCCCTGCCGTTGTGCCTCAGTGGTTGAGTGTCTGTCTACCTATGAACCAAGAAGTCAAGGTTTGGTTCCCGGTCAGGGCACATGCCCAGGTTCCGGGCTCAATCTCCAGTAGGGGGCGTGCAGGAGGCAGCTGATGGATGATTCTCTCTCATCATTGATGTTTCTTTCTCTCCCTCTCCCTTTTTCGCTCTGAAGTCAATTTTAAAAAAAGAAAGAAAAAAGAAAAGAAAGAAAGAAAAAGAAAGAAAGGAAGGAGAGAAAGAGAGAAGATACCCTGGCCAGTGTTTGCTCAGTTAGAGCATCCGCCAGAGCACCGAAGGGTCGAAAGTTTGATTCCCGGTCACGGGCACATACGTGGGTTGCCGTTTTGATCCTCAGTCCTGGTTGGGGAGTGTGCGGGAGGCAACCAACTGGTTTCTCTCTCACATTGATGTTTCCGTGTCTCTCCTCTCTCCCTCCCTCTCTCCACGTATGTCCTCGGGTGAAGATTAAAAGAAAGATCTGGCTAGGGAGTTCAGGATCTGCCAAAGGATTAGCTGTGACCTCGAACAAGCTCTTTGTCTCTGCGAGCCTCAGTTTCCACATCTGTAAAAGCAAAATAACAATGCTACTCAGAGAAGTAGCCAGACTTTGTGGAGCCGGAAGCATAGACCATTAGAGTGGGAGTGGGAGTAGTGGTAAGGGGTGGAGAGGGCCTCTTTAAAAAAGAGAATGCAGAATTACAAATCCGAAATTGCATACAGGACGTTGGAAAGTGTCCCATGGAAGGGAGGGGACCAGACAAATCTGTCTCAGATGCTACCAGTTAGCTGTGAGATAATTAAGAAAAGCTCTTGCCACATGAGATGGTGACCACGCAGGGAGTGGTGCGGCTTGAGTAAAATGCTATAATTTTGAGGGAGGAGGAAATTTGGGGCCGTTAGTCCGTGACTGAAGCAGAGATGATGACAGGGTGGAACACTAAAGAAACCCCCAGGGGCTTCTCTGTCAGCCGTGTTCCATCCAAAATGACATGGGTGACCTTAGACAAATCACACCCTCTCCTGGCCCAGCGTCCTGCCCAGTGAAATTCGACTGGATTGTACAATCTCTGCCTCTCCCCATTTTCCCAAAAAGAATTTTCACCACTCTCCCCGGAGCCTCGCAGCAGCTAAGACACAGTTAGAGGTAAGTGAGTGATTGCTTCTTTTTTTCCAACTATTTTCCCAGAAAGGGGAGCTCCCCGAAGGACTCCTTCTAGCAGCCCTGCAGCCCTGCCCTGGGATGACTGCGGAGGTGGGAGTGTGTGGGTGCTCTCTCCAAATGCCGGAAATAGGGTGCTGGCCCTGGCAAGCTGGGCTGTGGTCCCTACTCTTTCACTCTCTAGGTATGTGAACTTAAGCAGGTTCCTTTAGTTCAGAGCCTAATTTCCTCATTATTTAATTAATAGGATTAATTAAGAAAATATAGGTAAAACACTTAGCAGAGTATCTATCCCTGAGCGAAGTGCTTAAAAAATATTATTAAAATGGTCAGTGTCGTGGTCACTGTTGCCGTTACTCCTTATTGTTAGGTAAGGGTGGATGACTCCCATCCCAAATCCCTCCCCTCTCCTCCTCCCTGTTGGCTCCTCTCCCGAAGCTCCTTAGGCCAGGAGGAGCACCCTCTGGGGGAGGTGGGCGGGGCCTCACTCCAGTTTGGCCAGAGCCTGCTAATAAGGGACAGGCCACTGAGTCCGGGTTTGCACCTGACTGGACACCTTTCTCTCTGCCTCCTTCTAACGCAGACCTCCTCATTGCCCAGGGCCCTCTCTTTCTGAAGCAGTCATGCCTGGAACAAAGAGTGCTGGGGGTCCCCAGGGAGCTGTTAACCTCAAACCAGACCTCAAGCCATCTCTCGCAAGTGCCAAGAAGCTGCAGAACAAGGACTCTGAGTTCTTGGATGGAAGTCGTTTGGAGTTGCCGGTCTTGGAGAAGACCAAGGGTATAACGTGAGTGCTCTTTCCTGCCATCCCCCCTGTCTGCCCTCCAGCCTGGATGCTTGCAGTGGCAAAAACCCTGGGGTCAGGGTGGATGGGGGGTGGGGTTATGTCTGACCCCCAACCCATTGTGCAGATGGGGAAACCAAGGTTGCAGAAAGGGCAGTTGTAGGCTGAGTTAGGCTGAGAGCTTACAGGTGCAGGTGTAGAGACTGTCCAAAAGCCCTTAGAATATAGTGAACTAGCCTCCAACGCATGCAGGTGGGGAAACTGAGGCCCAGTTATTCCAAGCCATACCCTGGGTCATTGGCAGGACAAGGGCTGGAATCCGGTGCTGGCCCTAAAGTCAGTTTTGCTTCTGGCCAGTTTTGATCATGTTGGGGAGAGGGGCAGAATCCCCCACTTGTTGGAGAAGATGAGACCTGCCTGCAGTGATGACATCGAAAGCACAGTATGTGGGAGAGTCCAGTTGCTTCCACCTCCCTGGGGTGTGTTTTGAGAGGGGGGAAGGGGGAGAGGATCACTCATGAGGCTTTCAAACCATGACAAGGAGGGGTCTACTGAAAGTTTAGGCAGGGAAGACAAGCTACGGAGCTCCAGCTGCCTTGGCCCCCACCACTCAAGCAGAGCAGCTAGTTCACTTAGGAGATGTGGTTGGGGTGGCATGGTGGTGGAGAGCTCTGCTGCTTTAAGAAGAAAGTTCTGGCACCACTGGTGTAGTAGAAAGAATGCCGCATTCAGGTTGTGACTCTGCCCCCTGGCTTCTCTAAGCTACAGTTTCCCCATATGCAAAGCAGAGAAACCGGTAGCAGGATCTGTAAGGAGGCTGCCTTGGAAGTTCAGTCTGAAGGAGTGGGGCTGGGGGTTGCAGAAGGAGGGAGAAACTGTGAGGGCCCTTTCCACTGCCACCTTGCAAGGCAATGTGGGGATGTACACAGTAACCTTGACACCTGTCTTAGAGAAAGTCTGAGGGTTCTGTTGCCCCAGTGTTTGTTCTGAGGGTTGCTAAGAAAGCCTGATCCCTCCCCTAAGCGAGAGCTCTCTAGGCCTGGGGGGTGGGGGCGTCCACCGCTGAGTTGGGGTATTTCTCAATCAGAGGCCCTGAGGGAACCAACTAGCTCTGTCGTCCTGAGCTGACACATGGTTTATTGGCAATTTCAGTACTTAAGAATCAAAGAAATAAACAAGTGAGAACTAGAGGGATCCCTGTGGCTTGGGGGGAAGTAGTAAAACAGATCTGTCAGCGTGGTACCTATGGGATCAGCTGACTTGAGTTCCAGCTCCCACTCGGCTGCTTACCAGCTTGAGCAAGTGTCGGAACTCCGTGCCTCAGTTGCTCCTCCCAGGAAGGCTGCACAGGTGAATTGCACATAAAGCCCCTAGTGCCATGTCCAGAAGTGTTGGCTGCTCTGAATAGGGTGCTGGTCCAAGGTTGCCAAAGGAGTTAGGGCTTAAACCCGGGTTTCCTGCCTCCTGGCCCACTGCTTTCTTTGCGCAGTGTTTTTAAGCTGGCTGAGTTGCCCAAAGTTAAATTCTGATTTCCCAAGTCCTTTGGTTAGAAATTTCCAAAGAGACCCATTGACTTTTTCCTAGTTGCAAAATAAGGACATCATTGGAGGGCCACAGGGCACTGTGCTCTGTCAGCGATGTTGACACCCACAGAGAGGGAGAAAGGCATCCAGAGACTCTCACTCTCTCTCCCCCAACACTCCCCAAGTGTTCTCTTTAACCCTTAACAAATTAATGGGCAGATCCTTAGGAAGCCAGAGAAGTTAGGGATTAATATAGAGTGTGTGTGCTTGGAGCAGTTATTTCAAAATATCATTTCTCCAAATATTTACAGAGATTCAGCAATGTGGACACGTTGTCCAAGACGACACAGCTAGTTGAGTAGTAGCCTTGGGTTTTAATCCCTGATTTGTCCAACCTCAGAGGCCAAGCTCCTTCCAGAATAACTCTGCTGCTCTTTAAAAGTCTCCTCTCTGGAAGGCTCTCCTAGGGCATTCCCAAGGTTTCTAAGTTGTGGATGTAAATTCAATACTCACCTTGGTTCAAACGTGGTCCAGGTGCAAAAAGATATCAAAATAGGTTGTGGTGTAATTCATCACAGAGAGGGTACCTCCCTGGAGCTTTACCTCTAGAGGTGTAGACCTTGTCCTCTGGACAACCAACCTTCACATCTGCCTTAAAGAAAGTGTCTGAGTGTTTGTGTTGGGGTGGGAGGAATCATGCCATTCCTCAGCTTGATGTCCTGGCTAAGTGG